AAAAGTTCCACCCACCCAAATGTATTTCTTTACAAAACATGTAGAGGAAATATAAATTATCTTTTAGGGCAATCAGGGTGTAACACTTATTTTTCAGATGTCTTTTTCATACAGTCCTTATGAATAAAAATAATGTATTTTAATGAGATTGTGATTTTTTTTTATGTGATTTTAAATGTACACTCCAGGATGGTGGCTGAAGCTCTGATATCTCCTATGTAAACACCTAAATGCCAAGTCTGGACTTCAAAAACAGATTCTGAAAGTTTAACCAGCATTATGGTAATACTCTTATTGTAATTAAATATATCATGTAATGATGTGCATTACATTTCAATCACAAGAGGAGAAAATGCTAAATGTTATCAGTGAAATAAGTAATTTTTCATCTTGTTTGTTTTGCTTTACATGTCTGAAATGCAATTTTTTTTACCTCAAGGACAAAAAGTATACTCTTCGAAGAGACACAAAAACATATAGGTCCATGCCAAGCTATGAAAGATTTATGCTGAGGGTAAGTTCTATTATTAGATCTACATGTATTATATAGAATTTAATTGTCAAGACATATGGTTATGTCTAAAATTTTACTGTTGTATTTATATCTGTGATAAGCAATATTTGCACCCGAGCTGACTTACATGTAATCACAAAAAAAAAAAAATGTTTTAACTAATTAGGTAACCTGAGTCAGTCATGACCTATTGCTATCTGTTTTTAGCTCACCTGAGCTGAAAGCGCAAGTGAGCTTTTATCACATTTTGTCTGTAGTCTGTCTGTCTAGCTGTCCGTCTGTCTGTAAACTTTTCACATTTTTGACCTCTTCTCCAGAACCACTGGCCTTATTTCAACCAAACTTGCCACAAACCATCCTTGGGTAAAGGGGATTCAAGTTTGTTCAATTAAAGGGCCACACCCTCATTAAAGGGGAGATAATTAAGAAATAGTGAAGATTTAGTGGGATGTTTTAAAAATCTTCTTCTCAAGAACCACTGGGCCAAAAAAAGTTGAAATTTATAGGAAACCTTGTATGTCAAAGTGTAAATTCAAATTTGTTTAAATCATGAGTCCGGGGGGTAGGTTGGGGCCACATTGGGGGATCAAAGTTTTACATAGGAATATATAAGAAAAAATCTTTAAAAATCGTCTTCTCAAGAACAGCAAAGCCTTGTTTAGTCATATTGATAAGGAAGCATCATCAGGTAGTGTAGATTCAAGTTTGTTCAAATCATGACCCCCAGGGGTAGGGAGGGGCCACAATGGGGGATCAATATTTTACATAGGAATACATAGGGAAAAACTTTAAAAATTCTTCTTCTCAAGAATAGCAAAGCCATGAATAGTCATTTTGAAATAAAAGCATCCTCAGGCTGTGTAGATTCAATTTTGTTGAAATCATGATCCCCTTGGGATAGGGTTGGACAATAATGGGGGATCAAAGATTTACATAAGAATATATAGGAAAAAATCTTCTCAAGAACAGAAAAGCCCTGATTAGTCATGTTTATATGAAAGCATCATCTGGTAGTGTAGATTCAATTTTGTTCAAATCATGAACACCGGGGTAGGGAGGGGCCACATTTGGGGATTGAGTTTTTATCGCATAAATTAATAAAGCATCTGTGGTTGAATGGAAACAAAAATAGTGAATTTTATGGTCCCTGCTCCCCCTGGGGCCTAAGGGATGGAGCTAAAACCATCAAAATTCATGCAAAATTCATGCAATTTCTTTAAACCTGGACATCAAGCAAACTGTTAGAATGATTGTAATGAGCATTGAGTCTTCTTCTAAAATTATGAAATTCATGGCCCCAGGGTAATTTAAGTGATTCAGGTGTTAGGGCAAGGCTTCATTGATCATATAGTGTTATTATGTATCGATTCATTGAAAATCTATATAATGCTCCTCCTGAGTTTAAAGCAAATAAACTTAAGTTCATAACTATGATGAACAAGTTTTATTTTCTGAGTTCACTCACAATACTTCAATTTTAAATTTGTCGAGTAGAGATCGAATTATAAGGTAGATACTTGAGGATTGTGAAAAGTCTAGTTTAAACGACCAAGGTTATTAATACTAAAAAAAACTGTAGTTATTCAACTCTATATTTTAGTTCTATAGGGAATCAACCAGGAGTTATTTGTGGAAAATAATGTTGATCAAAAAATTGTGTTTTCCTTATGCAAATTCATTTAATATTTTCTTTTTCTTTACAGATAAAAGAGAATTGCAGAAGAATAGATAGATGTTAAAAAAATTCAACATTAAATTTGGCTTAGATTTGAATACGTCTTTTGTTGTGATTGCCTTAAGAGCAATAAGGATCAGGAAATTTGAGGTGAAGGATATCCAGATATGTACCTTCAAAATGTGGATCATTCAACAGATGAAAAGAAAATAAGCCTTTGAAGAAAATTATGTCAAATGCATGAATTGAATCATTTTTGTTTCACCTTTGTTTACAGTATGTGACAAAAAATTTTCAATGTATGGTACTTATACATTTTTCATATGAGCAGTTCATTTAACAAACGCGTTAAACGCATGTTTCTCAAAACATGCTTTACACACACGTTGCACGTACGTTATTCATACGTGAACCGACGTGTGTGTAACGTATGGTAGTCAATACGTATGTTAAACGTACGTGTCACGCATGATATTCATACGTGTGAAAACGTACGTTTAACATACGTGGTGCTTTTTTCGTGTGATACGTACGTGAAGTCACATACGTATCACATACGTTTAACGTAATTAGCTGTGTAAACATAAGAATTTTTTCAAAGATTAAAATGAGGCTTCGATGAGATTAAAAAAAAACTTTAAAAAAAAATTAAGAAAAAAAAAAATTCCTAAGAAATTCTTAGACAGTTATTGTTTCAATTTCTAAGATTTCAATACCATTTTTTAGTGTCCTGACACTGAAAAAAAGTAATGAACTGAATATTCAAGCACACGTAGCATTGTGTTGTATAATAAATTTGAGATTTCCAAAACGATGTTATAAGTATGTTAAGTGATGAATTCAAAACAATAATCAAATTGATATACATATCCATTTATCTTTATCATTTTATTTTTGTTATGGTATACATACTAGAACTATTAAATCATTTATGATTATGGAGTTTATTATTTGCTTTTAGGCTCTAAGTACTAATGATAAACAATTAATACGAACTAAAATTATATTTAGTAGATATATAATTTTATAAATAAATAATAAGCAAAATATTTTAATGTAGTTGAATAGATAAAAAAAAAGTATTTCTAATACTAAAAGACATTTAGTTATAATCAACTATTAGTCAAGAATTTTTAAAATGTTCAGAGTTTTTATGAACATTGTGCAACTTGAATTTGATGGTTAAAGACAAGTAGTACCAATGAATTTCTATTTTTTTCCATTAACATGGTTGCCAAAGAATTTTAACTTCTTTGACAGAGACAAATACATCTTTCCCATTATATTGAAGATCTACAATAACTGTTGTAAGTTCTATAATCCGGTCTTAATATTGCATTTTATTTCGTGTGTTTTATTATAAAGAAAGAGAACTTCTCACGATTGCATTTGAAATGATAAAGTTGAAAGAGTTATTTCTCCTCAAACATTATTCTTCAAAAAGGTTAGAATATCATACCGTTTTTATTGATCATCCAGCCAGAAAACATCGTATGCATCGCTTCTGCTCGACCACTTTTATTCTGATCCAGACTTTGTCCTTTCTTGTAAGGTTAAGAACGGCGAAAGAGGTCGTTGTGTCGTAGTATGTTGGGGCTTGGTCGGACTTTGATATTCTCATTTCTAATCCGTTCACTAAAAGAACACCCTCAGTCAAATGTCCATATGTCTCTATGCTCCAAGAGAACACATATAGACCTGTGATTGGTACAGTAAATATTCCAGAGTGTCTGTCGTATCCAAATTTATTATTTGTGATCACATGATCGAAAATGATCACCCCGGGATTGGAATTACTGTAAGCTACCACATGGAAAGCAACTTGGTCATAACTCACTATATGTTTTCAATTTTTTGGATAAAAATACAGATTAGGAAGAGAAACTGAAGAAAAAAGATTGAATTATTTCTAAATGATATACAGAAAGTAAGAAGCAACCTTGTATGCAACTATTCAAGTCCAAAACATTTAACATATACGAATGAAATATACATAGAGTGTCGCATTCAATATGTGCCATTATTGATGTTTGCCAATACGTTGATATAGCCACCTGAGGAGTGCAACATTCACCGAGCCCAAAGGGCGAGGTGAATATTGAACTTCAGAGTTGGCTAAATCATTTTTTGACCGACAAAACAGAATAATCGTTTTATTATATGATTCAATGAATAAATGATACTCTTTAAACATTCCATGCCATCTTATTTTTTTTTTTTACATTTGCTGAAGTCCTTGCCAAACACAATAAGAGAAACAAAGTTGTATTAAATTAAACATACCAGTTGTATAAATTTGGAATATATTTTTAAAATCTATTTTACTTGCGATGTAAAAAAAAAATAATTAAATGTCTGAATCACTGGATCGACTTTGAAGGGGGTATAAATGAAAAAAAATGACAACCTACAGTGTGCCTAAAAATTGCTAGCTCCCAAAACGAGGAGAATTCTCCAAACCCCAAATTTTGTATGTGTGGGGTCCAATCTCAGGGTTGGAGGATCAGGTTTCAATGAAGATTTTCATACTAAAATATAACTAAAATTTTACGTTCATGCAGATAAAAAGTGTGGGGAGGGGCAGTTTTCCCTCCCTTCAAAACCCAATACCTAATTTTATAACTTTGGAATTTCCTTATCTATTTCTAATTTAACGTTGAAAATTTTTTTTATGTTCACATGGAATTCAGGCACAGGTGAACACAACAAAGTATTTTTGTATAATGTTGGATCTCAGCCAATTAGAGATCTAAGAATTATTCAATCAGAAAATAAACACAATAATTATTACCCCAGAACGTCATTGGAAAATTTGATATTGTTATATATTTAATTGAATAAAATATGCAAAACATTGATTGAAAAAAATCTGTTAAAAGATTCTTACATATGGACAGTGCTTCCTTGATTGAGTTTAGTTCTTTCTCAAGCATTTCCGTTTTAATAGCTTGATCGAGTTCAGATTGATAGAGTTTGAACACTGTATCCTCGACTGAGTTAATTTTTTTTCTCAAGCATTTCCGTTTTATTAGCTTGATCGAGTTTGGAAAGTGTTTCCTTGATTGAGTTTAATTTTTTCGCAAGCATTTCCGTTTTATTAGCTTGATCGAGTTTGGATAGTGTTTCCTTGACTGAGTATAATTCTTTCTCAAGCACTTCTGTTTTATTGGCTTGATCGAGTTTGACTGTGTTTAAATCTTTCACAAGCACTCCCATTATAAAGTGATGGAATCTGGGCCACGTTTCTTTCACTGCGTTTAATTCTTTCTCAAGTTTGGACAGTGTTTCCTTGACTGAATTTAATTCTTCCTCCAGTATTTCCCATTTAATAGCATGATGCTGAACAGTTGCTTTTAAAGTATCTATTTCATCTGGTCCAGAACATGTGGCCGAGTCGTAATCAAGCCGTTGGTTCATACAGGTATTTATACAGTGGAGTGCGAATAAAAATGTCCAAAATACAAACTTTCGTTCTGTTGCCATCCTGCTTACTTCCCAGAATACATGAAATTGAAATGTACAAGAAACATAAGGTTATAAACAAAAGGCACATGGGTTACATCGCTTACCTGAGCACTTTGGTGCCTAGGGGTAGTGAAGTGGGTTATGATCTGAACAAATTTTTATCTACAAAACCTAGTGATGCTTCTACATTTATATGACTTATCATGGCTTTAATTTTTATCATAGATTTAATTTTCTATTGTGGCCGCGAAGAAACCCCGGAAGGTCATGATTTGAACAAACTTGAATGTACGCTTCCTTAGGATGCTTCTATATCTAATGTAACAAATCATGCTTTTATATTTAATGTGACCAATAATGGTTTTGCTGTACTGAGAAGATTTTGAAAGATTTTTCTTGTGCATTCCCTCTTTAAACTTTGATTGCCCATTCTAGTCCTACCCCGGGGGTCATGATTTGAACAAAATTAAATCTACAGTACCTGAGGATGCTGCCAAATAAATATGACCAATTATAACTTTGCTGTTCTTGAGAAGAAATTTTTTAAATTTTTTTCTCATCTTTTCCTAAGTGAAACTTTGATCCCCAAATGTGGCCAAATCCTACCCAGGGGATTCATGATTTCAAAAAAATGAATCTACTAGGGATGTCAGAATATTTATTTTAATCGATAATTCGATAGCATTTTTCGAACGATAGTCGAATATTAGGAACACTTTCTGAAAACGTCAGGGAAAAAAGAAGTATTTACAAGTCAGAAATCTTTTTACCTACATTTATAGTCCCTGCTTGGCGCAGTTGTTAAAGTGTATGCTCTAGAGTTGCGGAGAAAGGAGCTCATCCTTACTTCGCGGGTTCGAATCCACTGCGGGACGTGGAGACCGGTCCTTTGGACGAGACCGTATAATCCGAGGCTCCGTGTTGCAGTAGGTGTTGGCACGAAAAAGATCCCTCACTGCACAATGGCCCAAAGTTCCGAGCATAGGATGAAATTTGCAGCCCTCCATCGCCAAGTGGTGGCGTCTCCATATAAGTGAAATATTTTCGAGAGGGACGTTAAGCAACAAACAAACGATCAAAACCTACATTTGTACAAAACGTAAAATCAAAACCTATGTTGCAGATAGATGTTCACAGACACAGGACTCTTCCATCAATGAAACTTACAATAATGTACATTTCATTATCATTGTATTTAACCTACTTAATCCTACTTTAGATGCTTATAAAATAGATATAAATTTACACAATAAAATGTCTTTCTTGGTTTGTTAGTACGGGAATTAACGTTGCAAGTTTTGCAGAAAAATATACATAACCCGCGGTAGTAAAGCAATTATAATTACTGCACTTTCTACATGTACATGAAAGTCAAGTTTTTGTTGAGGAAAATTTATATATCTTATCGACTTTGTGTGAGGGAAGACGGTTTCTCAATTTTGAGACGAGAATTGCATCTCGTTTTCACTCTTCTGTTGTATCTATTTATTCGAATGTAGTTTGTGACGGTACATATTGTCGTTCTGTACATATTATCGTCGGCGACAATATGTACCTCTACTCACTCACTTATTGCAGTTAAGAAGAATAACATCTTCTCGTTTTCTCCATTTCTTGTATGTATCTGCAAGATTTTCACATCTAATGGCATTCCAATATGCCTGTCTTCCTTCATTAAGAATTAAGAATTTTTCTCCATGTTTGAATCATTTCCCGTCGTAAAATCATAACAGATTTATACTACAAGAAAACGGATTCCCACCAATACCTTGTATTTAATTCCTGCCATCCTTCACATGTACAACGTAACATACCTTTTAATATGGCAAGACGTGTTTGTACCATTGTCATAGATGAAACCAGAAGAAATAACCGTCTACAGGAAGTGAAAACGTTTTACTTAGACAAAAATATCCCAATGATCTAATAGACGTCGCTATTGAAAGGGCCAAGTCAATACCAACTACAGATCTCCGGAGTTTTACTAGACCAGGGGCCCAGGAAAACAATAAAGAATATTTATTTACTTATTTATTTATTCATTATTATTATTACTATTGTTAAGCTATCCGTGGGCCCAATAATATAGGACTTTGCCAAAATATATTACAAACAGCTATAACTTGATACCTTTGAATGAATTCATACTTTCATGATATGTATGAGAAAAATTGATTTATTGTTGTGATATAATCATTTTTAAAGAATTTAAGGAGGAACAGGACCTTGAGTTGAAAAATCTAGATTTTCTGAATAGCAGGTTTGTCTTCCGAAGTCTAAAAAATGCTTACTTAGGGAGAAGGAAGGGGTGTGATTGCCCACTTAGAATGAAAAATTCGCCATTAAAAACAATATATGTATATATAAAATATATCTATATTCAATTTTGCAACCTGTTACCTGAAGAGAGTATTATTCATGTATGCCTTTAATCGTCAAATCAATGAGTCAACAAAGTTTAACAACTAGACATATTTAAAAATCATGGACTTTATAGTCGCTTTCTGGAAAATGTCTTATCTTAAAAAGCCAAAGGGAAAGCCAAAGGGAGGTAACATTTAGATCTTCCTGTCCATATCCGACAGTTTTGTCAAAAATATGCATAGTCTTAGTAGATATAGTCAAATATAAAATATAGCGAAAGAACGAAAAATAAATGACAAGCAGAATGTTTGGGACTGGCCGTGTTGTACATCCTTAAGTCAATACATGTATCTTTTTACTCTTCCATAGAATTAAGTCACAATTTAAATAATCGACTTCCCACCCTACAGTTTCGTATAGCATTATTTTTCTTTTGTGTCCTTTTTGCTTTATTTCTAACTTGGCGCTCACATTTTATGAAAATTGGAGGATTGTAATGGGTGATGTCTTTGGACGGTGGCATCAAACTCTTTCTTAGATATTATACAAACAGCATTTACAAACTAAATATTAGATGGGCTGACAATATTAGTGTTATTTTTATATTATATATTCATCACAGATTTTAATATCAATTGTAAATTAGGAATATGCAACACACTAAAAGTATCACAGGTAAATTTCAACCAGTATAAAGAGAAGAATTATTTGATATGAAAAAATAATACCTGTTGTCAGCGATCCTATTCACTCCAATAAGGTTCGAAGAATATACCTTTGTTCTATAAATTTGTAAAGAAAATTGTCAGTAATACGTAATTGCACAGCAAAAATTCTAACTTCTGCCTTAGTTTCACCAAACAATATATTAATATATATAACATTTACCATCACGTGATAGTTGAATACACCAATTGTGTTGATACATGTAAAAGAGAACAATAAATAACCTGAAAAACACAAGGGTTTTTAATTCAATTGACAATGTTAAAACTATACAAGTAATAGCTTTTCAAAAAGCTTTCTGACTAAATCAATCAATATTTATGGTACGTATAAGCAAGAGAAATGCTAAATGTTTCTGTCATCAAGGAGCGACATAGTTGCGATACTTCATTACACAAGATTTACAATTGACTTTCTCAAATGTCATAAATAAATACTACTGATTAACAAATATGTAAGATATGCCACTGTTTGGTCATTTATTAGTTATCCCACGGGCTGACTAGTTGCATTGAGATGAAACTGCAAGTAAGCTTGCGTAGATTGGAATTCTCAATCTCCTTTGCAGAGTAGTCGTTCGTTCCTCTCTCAGACACCTTTGCAATGGGCTCGCGTCAAGATTTTTGGCATAACGTTTAAAACATAACATATCAAGGATTATTTCAAATTAAACTAATAGTTTTAGATCTATTTAGTAAATATCTATCCTTAAGGACTATCATTAGCTCAGACAATTAATTATAATGAATTAAAAGAAACGCACTATTTCTCGTGCTTATAACTGTGGTATACACGAGCCCACGACAGAGGTGAATGTATGAGCCGAGGGTTGAGTGTGTGGAATTCTCGGAAAAATAGTTAGACGAGTCGTTCTAAAGAAATTCATATTGCTCTCTCACCAAAGGGTGAGCTTCTTCATGCACACACTCTGGTCAGTGATAGATAGAAGAGACAGCCTCTCTTTATAGACCGGTTTGTGCTCCGCCGTTCTCGACGACGAGGTAAATTGTGAACGTTTGAACTAGAAAAGTTGTCTTGAAGTGTTTGAGACAAAATTTCTTCAATGCTGCTCTAGGACGCAAATTAAACTTTATAGCCAGGGCTAAACAAGTAACTGATGATCTCCTCACTTGCGATGATGGTCTTACCATATATTATGAATGAGTTTAAAATACATTTTTATGTATAGTTTTACAATCGTTTACAGTTTTACTTTTCAATCGATTTCAGAACCTTTCTCATTTCTTGTATTATAAAGTGTTTTTTGTTTTATGAAATGAAAACCAGTACAGATCATGATGACTTCTTCATTTTGCCGATCATTTACTTAGAACCTTACGGAGTGAAGCCCATGTCTCTACGGAAACTGGACTACACTCTTGCCGCTGTATTAAGGAGTCTCGTGGGTATAAGTTCCAAACATACGATTTTTGAAAAATTTCGTATGGTGAATTGTCAGTTCATAAGTAAACTCTGTGCCAAAAAAGAAAAATATTCCCCGACTAGTTTGTCAGGTAACAGCGCTCAAAATATATAGTCATTTTTATTGGTCCTACGTGTAATTTTAAATAGGATTATATAGGGAAAACGGACAATACCTTCTTCATTTTACTATTAAAAAAGACACAAACATAGGATTTATTTGAAATTTATACCAAATCATCCTCAAATATTCCCCTTCTAAAAAATAAAAAAAAAAATTGGGTGTTATGGACTAAATTTTCTTATCATTGACAAAAGTTCAAAAACTTTTACTGGTTTATCTATTATATTGATTTATCAGGAAATGCAAGTTTTGAATGAATTCATAATAAATGCAGAATTTGTACCCATCAATTTCTTACATTTAATTGTCTTTTAGTTTTAATCACCTATGTCATCACAATAGATGTTCATGGTCATAATTATAAGGTCAAGGTTATGAAATAAAATTAACCGGAACTGTCCAAAGTTGACTTATACCCCCCGCTAGGTTTTTCAGAGAAAGTGCCAAGTCACTAATACTAGTATTGGTGTTCAGAATTTGTTTAAACATTTATGGTAATTGATCATTATAAATTTTTAATAAATGAATCTAAGGCGTAGCCTAATTGAACATCAATACTGATGATATGGACCAAAAACGAATTATGAACTTTTCCTTTCAGTGACCTTAAACTTGCACAAATGACCTTGGATCAAAGTCTTGACACACCCTTAGGTCATAAGCAATCTGTTTAAAATGGGATCTTACCAAGTTTATCCATAAGAAAGATATGGACCGGACACAAATTATGAACTTTTTCTTTCAGTGACCTTGAACTTGCACAAATGACCTGGATTCAAGTTTTTGCATAAGAAAGATATGGACCAGACACGAATTATGAACTTTTTCCTTCAGTGACTTTGAACTTGCCCAAATGACCTGGATCCAAGTTTCTTCATAAGAAAGATATGGACCGGACACGAATTATGAACTTTTTCTTTCAGTGACTTTGAACTTGCCCAAATGACCTTGGATTAAGGACATGGCACACCCTTAGGTCATGAGAAATCTTTCTGTGAAGTAGAAGATTCTAATGTTCCTCCGTAAGAAAGATATGGACCGGACATGTTTGCACAGACAGCTATACAAACGGACAGACGGACAAGGTGATTCCTATATACCCCCCAAACTTTGTTTGCCAGGGGGGGGGGGTATAATATAATAATAATTAATAGAAAATATATGTTATGAGACTGTGTAGAAAATACAGCAACACTGATCATGCTGATGTAGGAATAGAATCAAATTAAAATGCATGTGTGCATCTTTTGAATTTCATGTATAATGACAAAATTATAACAGGTAGAAAAAAAATATAGAAATAATAGAACGATGGTTAACAAGCATTCTGTGAGTATTGCCATAGCAATACTAGTCCCCTATTGGCAAGTGAAATCTGGTTCCCATGAAAAATTGAAAATGTCCTAATTCAGTCAAAAATCAATGAAGCGGAATGAAATTCAAACTTGATCTATCAATTAATTTAACATCTTATAACAAAAATTAGCTCAATATGTTCTAGCTTTTAAAAAAATTGTGGAAAACCATTAAAAATTTAAAAGGTCATAATTCAGTCAAAAATCAATGAAGCAAAACCAAATGCAAACTTGATCTTTAACTCATCAGGATACATTCACATACCAAAAATAAGCTCAATATCTCCAAGCATTTAGAAAAAAGTATGGAAAACCAAGTGGGACAGACTGACAGACAGCTAGACAACTAGACAGACAGACAGACAGATAGATGGGCAGACAGACGAAGAGAAAACCTATAGTCCCCTCTGGTTTCACTGGCAGGGGACTAATAATCAGATTGCTTTAAAGCAAAATTTATTCCCCTTAACACACTGCATACTTTACAAATAATTCCTAAGTTGCATGTAAATAAGTATTTCAATCAACTTAATTTCATAAGAATATTTTTTAAGACTAGTCAATATATAAAATATTAATTATATTCAACTAGTATATGTTTATTACAGACTGAGTCATGTCAATTAAGATATATACCAGATTTATAGCAAGATATAGGCTGCTTGAATTGAATCATTATCAATAACATACATATATACAGGATGAAAACAAAGGAAGCATAAAACTTATGAATATGCAACATCTTCTATGATTTTTCAGTTTTATGATGACTACAGTGTATATACATGTATATTCATGGTGGAGAATAGGTTATTGAAATGTGTTTCTCACGTTCCAGCATGTACCATACTTTTGAAATATATCTCCAAATATTTCATTTTATTATTGAAATGCATACTGCATGTATATATAAACAGTGTACTTTACATGTAAACAATAATGCACATTTATAATTAACACATCATAAGTATGCTTATCTTGCTTAGTGCCAGGTTCATGTCATCATATTGTACAGAAATCAGGGATAAAAAAGTTACTTTCATTATTTTCATTACACATTTTCATAATTTATTTAATACAAAGAATTATTTAATGACAAATAATACTCAAAAATTTCGTGTATTCTAAGCGAGAAAAACTTATTAGAGCAATTAAAAGAAAAGGAATTAAGGTTTTCAACCTTAAACATGCTAAAGGTGAATATACATGTATATAGAATCCCCCATGATATATGGTTGAATATGATTTTTATTTTTAAATGAATACATTTTACAGATGACAAAATAATAATATCAGGGGTGTAGCTCCAATTGTGGCAACTGCCTCATAAGATTTTTCAGCAACATCCCTTAATGCACTGCAGAAAACATTTGTTTTAAAACTAATGGTTTTTATCCCATGTTACCCCTTTATCCCGTGGATATCACTCATTGGATTTTTTTTTTTTTTTTTTTTGATAATTGATAAAAGGAATGTCCTGTATGGGATTTGTGGTTGGTTATGATTTTTATCCAACTTGTGTGTTTTTATCCCCTCACCAAGGCTCGGGGATAAAAAAAAAAAACCCACACAACTTGTTGGATTAAAATCATATTCAACCATATATCATGGGAGATTCTATATATATTCAAGATTTAAACAAATCTATAAAATGTTGTATTTTCATATAAAATTAATAAAATATGTATTGTAGGTACGTTATGTTGCATTTCCATAGCAAAGTCTAAACTGTGCCTATATTTCTTTGTAACAAGAATAAAAAAAAGTAAAATGTAAGTATAAGAACCAAAATATCATTTTTACAGTTTCATCGGGATATGACATGAAGTCAGTGTGTGATCAAATCTATAACGTCCTTTGGGCATTATAGAATTTGATCACCTGACCGACTTCATGTCATATATCCAAATGAAACTCTAAAAATGATATTTTATTTCTTAAATGTGTTAGAAGTTTGACCATGTTGAAAAAACATTTTTTTTATTTTAATTAATATATTAAACCTTTTTAAAAATTTTTGCAGTATCTAATGATTATATGCAAACTGAGGTTTAAATATTGAAACTGGTAAACCTTACGAAATTTCTGTCCAAGACAAGTATGATTTTTACATTCTAGGCCTAAAACCCCTATAAAAGAACAATGCATTTTTCTTCGGGTGGCTTCGCACCCTGAACCC